AAAAAACCATCTCTTCCTCCAAATCATGTGGATAACTACCGACCTATCTCTCTCCTCCCTTTTCTGTCCAAAATCATTGAAAGGGTGGCATTCAAGCAGATCACAGAATACCTCTCACAAAACTGTCTGCTTGACCCTTACCAATCTGGGTTCAAAAAGGGCCACTCCACTGAAACTGCTCTGTTAGCAGTGACTGAATCCTTAAAAGAAGCTAGAGCGACTGGCAAATCCTCAGTGCTCATCCTGCTCGACTTATCGGCTGCATTTGACGCCGTCAACCATGGCTTCCTTTTGTCCACACTCTCTACCATGGGCATCACAGAGAAAGCACACGCCTGGTTTGAATCGTACCTCACAGGACGATCATTCAGCGTATCTTGGCTTGGACAGTCCTCTACCATACACCACCTTGCCACAGGAGTCCCCCAGGGCTCTGTACTAGGACCTCGTCTCTTTGCCATATACACCACCTCACTGGGTGAGATCATTCGATCACATGGCTTCTCCTACCACTGCTATGCAGACGACACCCAGTTCTATCTGTCATTTCCCCCGGACGACCACACTGTCTCAGCACGAATATCAAACTGTCTCTCTGACATATCAAAATGGATGAAATCCCACCATCTCCAACTCAACCTCTCTAAAACTAAACTACTTGTCATCCCAGCAAAACCATCCATACAGCACATTATCTCAATCCAGAATGACTTCCTATCTCTGGCTCCTTCAAAGACAGTTCGAAATCTGGGTGTTGTGATTGGTCTTTAAAGACCTGGTCTTTAAAGATCATGTTGCCTCTGCTGTCCGTTCATGCCACTTTGCGCTGTATAACATACGAAAGATCAGACCATACCTAACACAATATGCCACCCAGCTCCTGGTGCAATCTACTGTCATCTCCCACCTCGATTACTGCAATGCCCTTCTAACTGTTCTTCCAGCCTGTACTGTGAGACCTCTTCAAATGGTCCAGAACGCAGCGGCACGTCTGGTCTTCAATCAGCCTAAAACAGCACACGTCACCCCTCTGTTCATTGAGCTCCACTGGCTACCGCTAGCAGCACGCATCAAATTCAAATTGCGAACACTAGCATACAAAGTCCAAGACGGTACGGCTCCCATCTACCTGAATCCTCTTGTAAAGGCTTACGTCTCGGCCTGGCCGCTCCGATCATTACAGGATCGTCGGCTAGCAGTGCCTACACCACACTCAGGACAATCCAGACTTTTCTCATGCATCGTTCCACAAATGTGGAATGGCCTTCCAAGCACTACAAGAACTGCAGCTTCCTTTTCAATTTTCAAGAAACTCCTGAAGACCCTGCTCTTCAGAGAGCATCTTCTTAACTAGCACCTTCCCTGCACCCATCCCCCCTCTCTACTGTCCACTCCTTGTACCCTCAATGTTGTTGTTGTTAGCCTCAAGGGCAAAATGCCGATTATCACTTGTAAGTCGCTTTGGACAAAAGCGTCTGCTAAATACATAAACATAAACCAATAAATTAAAAGTTTTGTCAAAAATGTATTCTGAAGACCTCTAAAAAGGTACAACATTGTTCATGAAAACCTTTTTGAACCATGTAGGACAATCCTGGCAGGCTTCAGGTTCCTATAGACCAGGAGAATTCAATACCGGTCCTCGAGGTCCGGTATCCAGCACGTTCTAGTGGTTTTTCTAATTCAACACACTTGATTCACCTGTGCAGCAGCTCATAAGGCTCTGCAGAAGCCTGTTAATCACCTTTTGACTGAAATCAGGTGTGTTGAAACAAAGTTATATTTGGATACCGGACCTGGATACCGGACCTCGAGGACCGTAATTGAATACCCCTGCTATAGATAGTGGGTTTTTAGTGACCTCTGACCTTTACATAAACACGTTGTTATTGCTTCAATAATCTGTTGAAACAATTTGAAAAAACAAACCAGAAATGTGATTTTCTGCAAAATGGAAAACATTTTCTACTATAAGGTTTAGACCAGGGGACCTAAATAGGCCCCCTCTTTGTGGCCCCCGAACCCCGCAAACTTCAGAGTCTGGGGGCCACAGCAGCAGATGATCTGTCACCTCTGACCTTTAGCCTGGTGCTGCACAACCAGTAGGCTTTAGTCACTGGACCTCAGGAACCTGCTGGGGGTGTAGGGACTAAGAAGATCACCAATGTAGATGGTGCTCGTCAGAACAGTCCCCTGCATCACTGAGTCAGAAGGTCATTAGAGACCCTAAGAAGAGCTGTTTCAGTAGAATGAGCTCTACGAAAACCTGACTGGAGGCTATCATAGATGTTCTGTTCATTAAGAGCAGCTGTGAGTTGTTTAGCCACAACCTTTTCCAAGATCTTGGAGATGAACGGAAGTTTAGAGATGGGTCTGAAGCTGCTATGGAGAGAGGGGTCGAGACTTGTTTTTTTAAGAAGCGGGTGGATTACAGCGTTCTTAAAGTAAGCTGGGACCTGACCAGAAACCAGAGAAGCATTAATTATAGAGAGCACGCTGGGACCGACGGACTGAAAAGCACTTTTAAACAAAGATGAGGGTAAGACATGGATGTGATTTTCACTTTAGAAGTGGGGGGGACACAGGGGGGGTATCTTTACAGTATGTTCTAATGGGAAACCGGCTTCAACACTAACGGTTGTTTTCCGCTTGGTCCTAGAGCTCAACCAGTGTCAATTTAATATAGCGTAATATTGTTTTTGGATGGTAAAAAGTGCAGGGGTCAAAACTTGACTTTGGAAAAAGTGGGGGGGACAGGGGGGACATGTTCCCCCCAAAAAATTACGTCCATGGGGTAAGATGTGGAGGGGGCATGCAGAGGTCTTCATAGAGTTAACTAGTTTGGTTAGCTCAGGCAAAGAAACATGAGCAAAGTTATCTAGGATGATGGGCCTGGTTGGAGTCGGGAGAGGCGGCGATAAGGCTGAAGGAGAGATGCTAGATCTAACCTTATTGACTTTGTTCACAAAGAAAGACAGAAAGTTTTCACAGTCTGCAACAGAGTGGATGGAGGCTGTAGGAGAGGCAGGAGAGACGATGCTGCTGATGGTGTTAAACAGCACCTTGGGGTTCCCTTTGCTCTGGGACACCAGGTTGGAAAAATAGGAAACCCTAGCGTCTCTGACTGCAGAGTTAAAGGATGTCAGAAGATCCTTTAGGTGCAGCAGATGGACGTGGAGATGGGTTTTCTTCCACAAACGCTCAATCTTTCCACATTGGCGCTTCAGGCTGCAAAGGCTGTCATTAAACCAGGGAGTAGGGTTCACTGCAGGAACTGATCTGGTTCTGACCGGACAGATGTTGTCCAGAATGAAGAGGCAGTGCTCGTTGAACTGAGAAGTTAAGGAATCTGGGTCGTTATCAGAAGAACAGGGTGGATCAAAAGCAGCAGAAAAAATTTCTAGCTGTGCTCTCATTAAGAAAACGAGAACTAACCATACGGCGAGCAGGAGGTGGGGACGCAGAAACTGACAAGTTAAAAGAAAATGCAATGGTGATCTGAGATATAAACGTCCTCAGGACAAACACTGTCAGCATTTAGACCCAGGGTAAAAACAAGGTCCAGTGTGCCTCCTGGTGTGTGTGGGGCCAGAAACATGCTGGGTAAAGCTGAAGGAGTCCAGAATAATCTGATGCTTGCTGCCAAACTTCAGTCAGAAACAGAAAATCCAGGTTTATAGAGATAATGAGATCATTAAGCAGGATGGACCTATTGCTAATAGAGCCACGCTGAGTGAGGTGGAGGAATCAGAAACTACAGCAACAGCTGGAGGTTAGTCTAAGTTATGCTTCTCCATCTGCGTCGGTTCAGACACACGCAACATCATTACGCGTCAACGCAAGAGCCCTTGACGGGCTTGTAGAGAAAGACGGAAACGCGCCAAAATTTGAAGTATTTGTGGAAAGAGATGGAGATCGCAAGCTTGTGATTGGTCAGAGTCAGGACACCGCTTCCTGTTTTCATTCGTCAACAGCACCGTCTTTTTGCTTCAAAAACATAAAGAGCGGCAGAAACGGAATAGATTGAAAAATGCATCGCGGAAAAAGTCTGAAAATGTGAAAGTTTATTCACCCAGCAGGTGTGACAGCAGCAGCTCAGGAGGTTGAGCGGGTTGTCCCGGAATTGGAAGGTTGCAGGTTCGATCCTGGGTCTGACCAGAATGCTGCTGTTGTGTCTTTGGGCAAGACACTTAACCCACCTTGCCTGCTGGTGGTGGTCGGAGGGACTGGTGGTGCCAGCGTACGGGAGATCTCGCCTCTGTCAGAGCATCCCAGGACAGCTGTAGCTACATCGTAGCTCATCCCCACCAGTGTGTGAATGACTGATTGTGTTGTGAAGTATTTAGTGTAATTTGATGTTGTTTTACCTTTGGCTGACATGTTCCGGCCGGGACACTTCAGCCAAAGCTAAAACAACATCACATCACTAAACTGAGTTAAATAAGAAAAAAGAAGATGATTATAAATCAAAAAGAAGATGATTATAAATCAATACACAGAACAAACATTCGGAAGAGTTTTGAAGGAACATGCTGCTTTCTGGAGAAACACAGATTCTAAACAGAACAAAACAACTCCTTAGATAATCTGCTCCACAGAGAGTACACTCAAAGAGGGGTAAGAGCAGAGGGGGGAGGGGTGGTCAGAGGTGCAGTTTGATGGATGAATCATTAAAAGTGGAACGTGCACGATGATTGGATGAGATTTTTCCAGGATTGTATGATTCAGAAATGAATGTTTCTTTTTAACAAAACTTTTCATTTGTTTGACATCAGTATGTAAGAGCATCTCAGTCAATGTGGAATAACATCTCAGACCCTTAAATCTGTCCTGTCAATATAAAAGTCAGGGATGCTATACACCTTCTGTTCTGCACAGATGTTCACAAGTCTCATTTGTGATCAGCTGTTATAAACTCATTACTAACGGTTGTAATAAACTCTGGTTCTGGTTGGTTTTAACCAGGTCAGATCCTGGTGAGGACATGAGAAGACATCCGATTGTTTTACAGACGTTTATTGAACTCCTGTTAGCAGGAACAGCAGCTGGGTCGGACTGACCCGCGAGGTCAAATGTCACTGATAGTTAACGGAAGTGATGGTAACACTGAAATCAAGACCGTGGAACACTTTATCCCACAGTCCCGGTTCTCCAGCTTTTCCCTGGAAAATTCCCTGAAAATGCATGAAATCATCAGCAGTTTGATGCTGACCGCTATGGACCCTCTGGTTCTGAGCTGCATTCTCAGCTCGACTGGACTTGGAGGGAAAACTCAGTTGGTTCAGTAGAACTTGGAAATGTCAGGACTTTACAGCTTAATACTGGATCAGCTTCCAGAACCATAAAAAAAACAAATACATTAAAACATTAAATAATCAAAGTCACTTCGTGTGTTGGATCACAACCACTGATCCAGCAGAGGAATGTTACCCGCTCAGTAGTTTTCTGTTTCCAGTGCTTTGGTCCATTTTTTTAATGGTTCTGGTAATCCGGGTCCTAGCTGACTGGATCGACCACCAGAACCTTACACTCCCGTTTCACGATCTTTTCTAGCGACAGCAATGTTTTGTCCTGCGGTGGCAGGTAGAGCGGCCGACCCACCGGAGAGCCAACAGGAGGAGTGATGGCCCGTCGCTCCATGGCGCTGCCCGTCCTGCTGACCCACAAAACCCGTTCAGACAAAGCAGAAAACTCTCAAATTATTTTTATTTGATACTTTTTCACCTCATGATGTGAGAGCGAGACGGTTGCTGGTGTGAGAAGGACTGAGATCGACCCAGACTGGCCTGGTGCCGGTCCAGCAGGTCTCGGACCGCAGGGCTGGATGGGCTGTTTTTACCTACGAGAAGGGACAGGACTCTGACATCCACATAAAACTGTTCAGAAATCAGTTCAAACACAAAGAAACAAAACATCTAGAAAATACCATCCCCAGATGACAGATTATTTAGCCTTGGCCCCAAAATACCTTGAAACGGCCCTGGGTGTGGGACTGAGCTGAAGCTGATCTGAATTGTATCAAATATATAAATATTGCTTTTATAGAGTTAAAGAGGTGTAGTGGGTAGCAACACTTTCCTTTTCAGGGTCTTTGTTGTTTATGTGACTGTTTTCCTGTCCCGTCTCTCATCTTCCTGCATCTCCTCTCAATCCTCCAGAAAAAATGCTGCCTGGCTTCCTTCTTTTTCACTTCACAAGTTACTTTGAACAGAGAAGATCAAATGAATCTCCTGACCACAGAAATAGTGGAGTGCGTGCTGTGTGGCCACAACAGTGAGGTGAAGTCATTTTGCATGATATAGGATCTTTAATAATGTCTTATTGCTGGGTTTCACTCACGTGACGTCTGCAGCTGCTCAAAACTCAAAAGTGGGCAGGAAGTGATCTGCTCCGCAACAAAACAGAGATACGACACGGCGCGAAGGATGAAAGCTACGAAGGCTTAAATGAGCTGGCACAGATGCGATATTAAGAAAAAATTACATCCTTTAGGTTATGACCCATAGAGTTTTAAAAGTCGCACTTTTCATCCACTGTGGAGGATTTACCCAGCGCTGACGCGATCAGCAACACAAACTCTAGCTGCCTTCCTCGGATCACACTGCAAACCAAACGAAAGCCTTTTACCGGCCTGGAAGCCTGCAGCTGTTTTATTTCAGGTTGGTTCACCTGTTAGTGATCCAGAGAAGCTTTAAATGACTATCGTCTTGTTTTTGCTCAGGTGAGTAGTGAGTTGTGCTACTTTATTATTAGCTCATGATAATATTGCTATCGCTAATGCTAACGATCAGTATGTGCTAGGATCTACTTGTAAATAACGTATTATTCCTTTTAAATCCAGATTTCTGGTCCGTTTGTTTGATTTTAATAAGGTATAAACGCCACGTTACAACACTAAGCTAACTGCTAAAAACATTAGCACCCTGAAAGCCATTAGCAGTGAGGACATGTGAAAACAGTATAAAACTGTTAACCTGTGGTTTTTATTGCTGTTTAAGCAACAGTTTAATAAAACACTCAGTAATCTTTTAACTGGTAGAAAGTGATCTCTGTAAACTCCAGCATCGTCCTTTCAGATCCTGTTTTAAGCCGTAGATTACTGATCCACTTCTGCCGTCTTCTTTCAATATGTTATTTATGTTATTAAGCTCTTTGTGGCGCGCTACATTCAGGACTTAAAAAAATATGTCCTGATTAGAATGACTGTAATAACTGTAGATCGCACAGAATGTCGGCATTTTAACGCTCAGTCACCAAAGTAAAAGAGGGTTTATGCAGCGCCGGCTACTTCTGGACCCTGATCTGCATTTGGTGACGTGGATGCAACATCACATGAAACTCAGCAATGGGCCTTTTCCAAGAGCACGGTTTGGTATATTTCATCTACTTTTCAGTCCGTGCTCTGTTCCAAGTGCGCCGACCCAGGCTGCCATTGTGACGGTCAGCTGCTGATTGGCTAGGGGCGCAGAGTGTTACAGAGCTTTCCTGCTGCAGCTTCGCTGATTGCAGCAATTTCCTGGTTCAGTATGATAAAAAGCCACAAAACTGAGTAGAATGTTCGACATCACTACCATTTTTATGCTGAGTTGTGATTCTGTGTAGCATACAGATCTGCTCACAATGTAAAAGATCATCTCATGCTATTTTTTGTTCACGGACCAAAATAAAAATGTATGATCTTTGAGTTCCAGGTTGACCATCCACTGATCAGGCCAGGAGCGTCCAAAGCACGGCCCAGGGGACCATCTGTGTCAATTGTGTTTCCAGAATGTAAAGTTTGTCTGCCGATGAAGACAGATATGTTCTTAATTCAATTCAGTTTATTTATAAAGCACCAAATCAGGACCAGAGTCGTCTCACGGACCTTAACACAGTAAACATTCCAATACAGGTCAGGCCATTAAGCCAATCAGTAACAAGTTTCCTGTATAAGGAACCCAGCAGGTTGCATCGAGTCACTGACTAGTGTCACTCTTTACAGCAATCCTCATACTAAGCAAGCATGCAGCGACAGTGGAGAGGAAAACTCCCCTTTTCCAATTGTATGTTCAGGAATTTTACTAATATCCTAAATTCTGGACCTATTTTGAAGAGAAAAAGGGGCCATAAATTAAAATTCTGTGGCCCATAAGGACAATTAATGTAACGATTATTGACCCTTGTCTCGGAAACTGAACACCCCTGGGCTAGGCTGACCACAATGACCAGTGGCTGATTCTGATAGACCAAAGTCCAGTTCTTACGTGACAACGGCCGAGCGTCGGGCGTTGGGTTGGAGACCGACGCTGTGAACTGCAGCTTCAGCTTCATGTGCTGACTCAGCTAGAGAAGAATCACAGAAACAGGGGGGGGGGGGGTCAGTGAGAACAGAAGAGACGGGTTCTGGTGTCAAAAAGGAACCAGCAGAACCGTCCAACCCAACAGACCTCGTACAACCCAGGTTTCAGGATCTGGAAGGGCACGCTGAAAGAAAGAGTACTTCCTCTCCGGCACTGACCCAGGTTACTGAGTGGAGTGTGACAAACCACTGCCGACAGCGCCGAGTCTTCAGTCTGACCACGACCTACTTGTGCGCACGCACACACACACACACACACACACACACACACACACACACACACACACACACACACACACACACACACACACACACACACACACACACACACACACACACACACACACACACACACACACACACACACACACAAATAAATAAAGGAGTGTAGAACAACAGTTTAACAGAAAGCCACTTCACTGGTCTGGGATCATTGAGCATCTGTGTGACCAATCATTGAAGAGAAGGACGTCTACCAAGAGAAAGTGTCTATACAGTCCAAGTCAACCAGTTATATGGAACTTTCACATCTTCACCATTTCCCAGTCTGCTCCACAGCCTCAGGTTCAGGGTCAGCGCTGAACAACACTAGAAAAGGTGTCATTGTTCTAACCCTGCGGTGTTATAAGTGAAAGATCTGCAAAAGTGTCTCTCTGACACTGGGATAGCGTGGGTTCAAATCCCAGTCGGGTCATACTAAGGACTATAAAAAAATGGACCCAGTGCCTCCCTGCTTGACACTTAGCATTAAGGGGTTGGATTGGGGGGTTAAACCACCAAAAACGGCCCAGCATAGCCAGTGTGTTGACAACTACTGGGACTTTAACTTTAATTAACCCGGTTGGTGTTCTGCCTACCTCAGGAGGTAAATTACATTCTTTCAGGTTAAATCTGATTTTTCTTGCAACTTGATAAAATCATAAACAGCAAAAATGCATGAAGTGCTTCTTAGGTGTGAAAGAGTATATATACGTCCGGTGCCCTTTAGTTGAGGGATCCATGTACAGCTTCAGAATAAAGGTGTCTGGGGCACTCAGAGGGATGATAATGATTAAAAAGCCATTAATATTCCATAGCTAGTCGAACAAAAATCCTGTCACGTTAAAAATCATTGCAGTAGAATCAGTAATGCATTAGTCAATCCCCATGGAAAAGTACAATATTGTCCAACTGTCTATTCTAAGCCTCGTATAACTGACAGAATAAAACAGTCAAACTAAACAGTCTTTTCACGCCCGCCCACGCCCACACACCTTCAGGAGTCCAAACGAGTCGAACAGCCAGAAAGTCCTGCAGGTTGTTCAGCAGAACATATTTGACCTTGAACCTCTCCTTCACTCTGACGGAACTGGGACAAACAGCCGTCATGACGAACCGCGGCTGGTCCAGACGGATACTGGGAAGTCTGGGAGGTTGGGGGTGGATACGAAAAGCAAGAAACTTATTATAATTTTGTTTTCTGAAGTGTTACGATCTGTTGTTGTGTTTGTCCACCCAGAGCCACCGTACATACTCAAAACCTGATTCTGGTTAGTTATGAATGATAAGACTGCATGGAAACCTTAAGTAAAACTCAGTAAGCTAAAACCCGTCTCTTTCTCCATAGTAACAAATGAGCTCTCGTATTTCTGTCTCTATGGAAACAGATGAACCCCACCAACGTTTCCATCACTATTTTGTAGCCAAACCCTTCAATCAATCTGACCTCAGCAGGGGTGGGGAATCCTGGTCCGGGAGGGACACAATGCAGCATGTTTCACTTGTTTCTTTGTTCAAAGCACCAGGTTTTAATCGGCTGGTGATCAACAGCATTAGCATTTTGACGCGGTCCGGTCTTGGAACCTCTGATTTTCTTTATTTTAAACACTTAAAAAAAACTAGAATCTGTTCCATTTTCTATTTCTCTGAAACAGTTAGCACATTGTTAATGTTTTGAGTTTGTTTTATATTTGAAGTCCAATAAATATTAAAAGAGATTTATTGACTGTGAAAATGAGTGAAATGATGCCCAGTGGTTGAAAATATTGGAGGCTTCATAACATAACAATTTGTTCTAAAATACATGGAAGTGGGTCTAAGTCTCTGGGCGACGCCATGTTTCCTTCTACGGGAGCCCTTGAGGACAGAACACATTTACAGATTTGTAACAAATGGTTACAAAACTTTCACCATTAATAAACGTTGTTTTACACATTTACCTCTTCACTCACCACCAGTGTCGGAAGGGAGTCTGATGTGCTTGTCATTTAGCTCAAGGGCCTTTTTGACCCTAATGGGCATCCATTGGTAAGGTCTTACTCCAACACAAAAATGCAGCTTGCTTGCAAAAATGGAGGTATCTACTGCCCCCTATGGTCAGGAAAAATACACACTGTCACTTTAAATTAAAAGTCATGATGGGCGACCACGTCCGTCACGTACTTTGAGATTTGTCAGCTGGTAAGAGTTTGTAATTAGCATGACTACAAATAAAAGCGCATATATGACATCACCACATAATCTCCTCTCCCCTAGCGTAGATGCTACTAGCCAGACTTATGGTGGTTCTTTCTTCCTGAAGGAAGGAATCAAAAGTTCACTGAACTTACAGCCATTTTCCCTCAGTTTATTTCCGTGTCTGGTTCGGTGACGTCACTTTGGTGAAGCGCATTTGTAGTTCTGGACTTATTTTCACACAAAACCTAAAATAACGTTTCCCCTTGTTCAAAAATAAGCGCTTTCTCGGTATCAAAATGCGTATTTAAAATCTACGGACATCATATGTGAAATCCATGGTGCGTAACAGGCGGAATTAGAAAATGGCGTTTTTAACCCCGTTGACTGGCATTCATTTTTTCATTCTTCCGGGGACCCGTGATCCGGATGTTGATGGGCGGGACATAGGCTCCTTATAATATTCCTGCTTTTATCCTAAAAATGTTCAGTGGTGAACCGGCACCGGTTTGGCAACCTATATTCCAACTGTCCTTAGACATTCATACTGTTCCGACAGTTTGGAAAAGGTCCTACATTGTCCCAGCTGCAAGGACAAAATGTCTAAAGGAGTGTAACGACTATCGTCCAATCGCTTTAACTCCTGTAAATGAAATCACTGGAACAAGCTGTAATTTCCCTATTGTCTCAGGCTGTTCAGGATAAACCAGACCCCTGGGTGCAGTATTGACTTTTCCTCTGCCTTTAACTTAGTCAAAACAGGCCTACTCCTCACAGAGATGCAGCAGCTGGATATTAATCATCTCATCCACTGGTTTCACTCCTTTCTCACTAATAGAACACAGTTGGTAAAGGCGAATAGTATATGCACCCTGATGGGTAAAAACTGATTTTCACCTTCTCTTGTTAATAATGTTGTTCTTTCAAACAGAGTTCATTAGCCTTATTCACATTTAAGGTGGTAAATACAGTATAGATGCATGGAAGATGGTTTTGTCTGGGGTGATTAATCTGCTCCTGCCTGAGGGAAGTTCGACCTTGTGTGTCTGCAGTTCTGTTATCACAAAAAGCTCCCTGGTGAAGTCCGGACGGAGCGTTTCTCTGAACCCGGGAAAGTTTGCTTTCTGTGAAGGGGATGGGTGTGGTCATCTTTAATGTGTGTGTGCTATGTCATTTTTGAATAAAACCTTTTGATGAGCTTCTGCTCGTCGAGAGACTAAACAGACCTCCCATACTGGTGTGCATCTTTTTTCTCTCCAGTTTTGCAAAATCTGATTGTTGATTATTGATAAATGATATAGATAAACCTAAGATCTCTAACCCCCCTGGTGTGTGTTGGACTTTCTTTGAGGTACGCCTGGATTGAATTAAATAAAATACCCAACACTCCCCCACAAATGCTGTTCTCTGTCTACACCAACGACTGTCCCATCAATGCACATGGGCGTGACCTGATTAAACACTAATAATACAGCTCTGGTGGGGCTAGCGACAGAGGCGGAACAACCAGACATCTTCTCTGCCAATGCATCTAAGGTATTGCAGTGGTGTGTTTTTACGTACTCACACTAACCTCCCCCCCAAAAGGCAGAAGAGGTCATATTGGGGCTACACATCACACATCGGCCCTTACACAATAAAACAATCCTGTTATGGATGCCAGGCTGAGCTGCTGATCATCAGCAAACATCTCTTCAGAGCAGCTCCAGGTTCCTTCCTCCTGCCACACCAGCTGCATGAAAGAGGAGGCAGCCTGAAGACCAGGGTAGAGGAGAGCTGTTGTGTTGTTCACCTATCTTGGTCTTGCGCAGTATTTATCAGAGTTTCAGGATTCACTTAGTTGTGTGGATAATTGTGGACTTTCATTGCTCTTAGGAGTTTAGGTTGTTTTTCCTCAGACTAGAGTGACTCTGATTCAGGTTCCTTTAAGACGCAACACATTAAATAATATTCAAAATACTCAAATTTATTAAAACTTTAAACATTTGATTGGTAACTATCAACTTTAAAATTAAAATTATCAAGCAATTATATAATAATACAACAATAATTATACTAAATAAAAATCCCACTTGACACTTAAGTACATAAGTAATCCATGAGCAGGCAGAAAACCCGTAAAAGACTTAAGACTGCAGATAGTTTTGGAAAATGCTAATCTTGCTAAAGAGATACAGCTAACTCAGAAATGTGTGTATCACATACGAAACAGTGGGCCTTCTAGGGTTAAAGCCTATCTGAGGATTTCTGTTGAGGTTAACCACTATTTCCCATTCCTCTTAAAGTAACAGCCTTAAGCTGCTCTTTAGTTAAGATCGAGTCTTTTAGTTTTGTTAAACTTTAAAAGAGAGAGTCCTTGTTTTAAATTAGTTTTCTTTTGATAAATGGTAATTGGTGGTGCGTCGCCCCGTACTCGAGTTTCGTGGTTTGGTTATAGTTTCTGATTTAACAGTTTTAGTAACATCGGGTATAGTATTAAGTAGGGCTGGGGGTAAACGATTATTTTTAAAACGATTATTCTGACGATTATTTTATCGAATAGTCGACTATTCTAATGACTATTTAGAAAATTAATCTAATGATTATTTTTCTATTGCACAATTAACAAAAACCAGAAAATCTCAAATAAATTCCTCAAAAAATTGATAAATTCTTACTGTAAGAGAATAAACACTACAGGCCTTCCATTTTGTATAACACTGCTTTTATTGTGTTGCGGTTGTTTATGTTCTGGTGACGTGTAGAACTTGGGAGTGCAGGCTGCTGCCTGAGAGGTGGTTGGAGACGGAGTGTCTCCATGCTGCTTTGTTTTGGTCACTTATGTGCGTGAGGCGAGTGGTGTTACGGGTTAAACCAAACTCAAGGTGATATTTTACACTAAACCGAAAACCCACCACACTCTAAATGTAATAAAAGGGAGATCTACACCACAAAAAAGATTAACTCTAAACCAAAACGTAACGGCTTATCCCAACACAAGAAGCTGTTAGCGAAGATGCTAACAGTAGCTTTACCAACGTTAAGTTCAAGTTACCAAGTTTAAATAAACCAAAAACACCCAGCAGCAAACAGACCAGCACGGAGGAGAGACCGTTACCACCAAAACAGCTCTCCTCGTGTCTGAAAGAAGCTCCTTAATGAAGGGAGAAGCGCTCCCGGTGATGTTCTACATCTGCGATAGACACGAAGCAGCGCATCTGACCCCGGAAGTTGTTGTCCATTGCCGGGAGACGAGGGCGGGCAAAACAGGAAAGGAACCTAGTAGTGGACGGACATTGTTCCGGGTCTTCGGTATTTGGCGGAGATGTTAGTGAAGGCGGAGAAGAGGGCGAACTAGAGGAAAAACAGGCAGATTCCTCCTCTATTTACAAACTCCTGGGGATGCAACAAGTGGGCGCGGTGCGTCGACTTCCGGATCTGACGTCGACAAATTTTTAGAATCGAGCCGTCGACATCGTCGAGGCTTCGCTACAGCCCTAGTATTAAGTAACCTTGCAACGTCCTTCACCTTCACCACCACTGGTCGTAACAAAGTACTTGGGTATACATGTGGACTCTGCACTTTCATGGTCTCTGCATGTGGGCTACATTTGTAAGAAAGTCCAGGAGAGGACCTACTTCCTAAGGAGATTTAGGTCCTTTGGTGTTAACATCAGGATCCTCCAGAGATGTTTTTAGGGCCACCACACTGAGCATCCTGCAGTATGGAAGTCCAATTTGACTGTGTAGCCTTAAAGTGGCAGTGTGTAGTTTCCTGGTGGTAGGGGGCAGTACATACATTTCAGGGTAGTTTTACACCATATCGCCTTGACCGTTGCTAGCTAAAAAAAAATACTACAGTAGATGTTGTTACCTGTGGAGCAGAAAGCATGCAACCTCTGCCCGAGTCCTCAGACTTTGATCGTCCTTTAGTCAACTGCATGGAGAGAATGCGATGCCGGTTGAAGTTTTCTGGTGCTGGATCTGCTCAAA